GACCTGCAAAGCCCTGAGAGTAGGCGGCAGCCTGGGGGGGCGGGAGGGCCCACGACGTCCCGGAGCCCGCAGGACCCCCTCCGCCTGCAGGTGCTCCACGCTACGGACACTCGCGCTGCTTCACAAAGAGAGGAAGTTTGAGAGTCGCTGACCTAAGTGGCTGTGTCATCCTTCTGGCACTGATGTGAGAACTGTGGAGCCGTCTTGACGGGTCACCTGACCGAAGGCAGAGGACCTCACTGCGTGAATTTCATCCAGATAACCTCATCCGGGGGCTCCTGGGTGGTCCAGTCGGTTGAGCGTCCCACTCTTGACTTTGGCTCAGGTTACGAGCTCCCAGTTCGTGGGTTCAAGCCCCGCGTCGGGCTCTGCTCTGACAGCACGGAGCCTGCTTGGCATCCTCTGACCCCCTCTCTGCCCCCCTTTTCTCTGCAGATGCGTGCACTCTCTCTAAAATAAAATTTTATGTAACAATCTCATGTCATCCATACGTATTTTGTGGTGTCCAAAATTTTCTACCTTAGCTGAAACGTAGTATGTTGTATTTTAAACATGCCATGAAACAAAACAGAATGGGGAGAAGGGGAGGGAGAGAGATTAGCGGATTAGCCGCGGAGGCAAAGGGCAATGTAAGGGTCCCTCCCGCACTTTCAGCAGCAGCCCCGGGGGTGAGGGGCACTCTCTCCACTGTGGGGAGCAGCAGGCCCCCATCAGCGGCTCCTGGCGATCTGCCCAAGATGTGAAGGAGGGCTGAGCCCCATAGGCAGCGTTGGGACCACAGATCCATCCAGTCCCGGGACTTCCCCAAAGGGAGGAAGCCCTGCTGTGGCGCACTTGTGGAATATGACTCGTCGGGGAAGGGACCCACCCTGCAGTGGTGAACGGAGAGGAGGGGAGGGACTCGCCCAGACACTGAGCCAGAAGGACAGGAGGCTCAGGGTGTCATCAGCACTCACGAGACCCAAGGCTGCGGAGCCTCAGATGAGAAAGTGGGTTGGAAAGTTGAGGGCGAGACTCTGCACGTGAACCTCCTGGCAGCGGTTGGACCAGGTGCTGGAGAGAGGCTCTGGGGACCCTCAGCAGCCACCGTGAGGCAGGCGGACGACACGTGTGCAAGCGGGAGCACCCCGAGAAGGGCGGAGGACCCCACCCCTGAGGCCCGGACGGCGCCCCACCTGGCACAGCCAGATCACAGCTGAGGAAGCTGCAGGGCGGTGCTGTGGGCAGGAAGCCGGCGTCGGGGCAACCGGGTGAAAGCTCAGAACGGCAGCATCGGTCACCAGTAAAGTGTGATAGAGATTCAAAAGCTAATAAACTTTTTATACTTCTCAAGGAGCCCAGTGATATTTACACGGAAAAAAATGATTCCGAGAAATGGAAAAAGGCGGCGGTCCCTTTGCCCAGGTGGTGCCCGGGCTGCTAAGAGCAGACACGTCCCGGACCCCCGGTTCCTGCAATGCTCGCTGCTGCCCGCGTGCGTCTCCGCGGGAGAGAAGAGCCTTCTGGAAGCTACAGGTGTTGGAGACCGGGCACCAGGAAGAGTGTGGCCGAGAGGTGGCTGTGAGCCACCAAAACCCTCCCGGACAGGAGGGGAGGGTGGGAAAGAGGGTGGGAGGACCCTCAGGCCCCGAGCGGCTGCCACCCCCGTGCTGCACAGAGGCCGGGGGGAGGGGGTCTGTGGAGGCCCCGGGAGCTGTGCTCATCCTTCCTGGGAGCTTTGCTACAGGGGAGCCGGGCCTGGCACTTCCGAGGTCGCCCACAGCTCTCTCCACGTCCAGCGCAGACCGTGAGCGCGCTGTCAGCACGCGGGGTGTCTGCAGGAGGCCAGAGACCACAAACCCTCACCCCAGGGACACCTGCTGTAGGTCCAGCCACCTTTATAAAAGGCGCCAACATCAAAAATCAGCTCGTGGTCTTTGTCCAGAATACCAAAAATATGGAAGGAACGAGGAAGGGGCGCCTGGGTGGCTCAGTCGGTTAAGCATCTGACTTCAGCTCAGGTCATGAGCTCGTGGTTTGTGGTTTCGAGCCTCGCGTCGGGCTCTGTGCTGACAGTATGGAGCCTGCTTGGATTCTCTCTCTCCCTCTCTGTCAGCTCCTCTGTAGCTCTCTCTCTCTCTCTCTCTCTGCCCCTGTCCCACTCACTCTCTCTCTCTCAAGATAAAGAAAAGAAACAGCATGCAAATTTATGTGAACAACGTAATCACAACAAAGCAAAAAAAGGCACGAAAAAAGGAAACCTACCAAAAATAAGTAGCAGTCTCTGGGTGATTTTAGTATGGCTGACTTTCTCACTTCCGGTATGCATAAACCTTCTATCAGAGCACCTGTTACTGCTGTGCGTTGGAGAGAGCTGAAACAGGGCAGTTACTTCATGAAGGCAGGACTTCACTGCCACTTGCCTGTTGAGCTCAAACACGGTGACTTGGAAGACACATCAGTGAAACGGGATCGTGAGATGAATTTGTGAGCATCTAGGATTGGGGAGCTAGCCCACTTCCCGGCTGCACAATATAGAATCGTCCCCACAAAGAAGCAGAGAAACATCCTCTTACCACTGTGTAAATTTCATCACTAGTTCAGTAATAAAATTAGAGGTACATGTACAGCACTTTCGACTTTCCTGAGAAGTATGGTAATGAAATAAACACAGCAAGCCCTGTAGTTCTGAGATTGTTACCACAACCCAAGCACTTTGCGAAGCACAAGCTGACCACGGAGCCCGCCCCGCCCGCCCCCCCGGGGCCGGCTCTCCTGCCGGTCAGCTGGGCTGGCATCCTGCAGGGGCCCCAGGAGAGGGGCTCCTGCCTCCCTCACTCCTGCTCCACGGATGGAGTGCTCCAGAAAACGGGAAGAGTGCACAGAGAGGTACGCACGGATAGCCTTTTTGAAGTATTCTAAGGAAACGTATTCTAAGGAGATATTCAGAGGTAGGAAAAGTATCTTACATATCAAGAAGAAAAAGAACCCAAAAGCATTTTTTAAAGGCTGAAAAAGACACACTAGAAGAACCAAAAGAAATACAAATGGCTTTTAAATACACGAAAAGTGACTCTGCTTCATTCATAATAAGAGAAGCAAAGTGAAGCCTCCTAAGGCGGCATTTTCCTACGGTCAGACTGGCAGCTTTCCCACCTCAGCGAGGGCGTCGGGCGACGGTTCTTCGTGTTGACCGTGAGAGAGCGCATTGCCTCCATCCTTTGGGAGGGCAAGATCGACCAAAATGTCAAATGCTTGAGCACGCTGACCTGGCGATCACACTGTTAGAAATTCACCTTCAAGCCGTACTCATACACGCTTAAAAAGGACACATACTGGATCATTCTCTGCAGCAAACCCCCCTCCAGGAATGGAGCCCATTTGAAGCAGGATGAGTCCACACGCGGAATCCCACGTCACCACGGGGGAGGAGGCGGGAAACACGTCCGTGCCCGCATAGAATGATCTCGGGGACATATTGTTAAGTGAAAGAGGGAAATGCAGATCAATACGTGTACAGTGTAACCGTCTGCACAAAAGGAGGGAGGAATAGAGTGTACACATGCTTGCCGATTCGATTCGCGGACTATCTCTGAAAAGAGAAATCAACCCAGTGGGGGGGAGGGTGCCAGGGAGCATGGAGTTTCTTTGAACTTTGAGAAGGAGTAGGCTTTGAACTTTGAACTATGAGAATAGTTCATTTATTTTTTTAACTAATTTGTTTGGAGTGAAGGAGAAAACAAGAAATAAAAATCATCAGGGATGATGGAGGCATCGTGACCAAAATACCCTGGGTCTTGAACGTGACCAGGGGCTTCCCAGGTGTGTGCAGCTGTCCTACTCATGACTCGTGCATCAAAAGGAGCATGTCCAGAAATCATACCTCAAAAAAGTGAAAAAGTAGTGCATATGCTTGAACACACAGTAAAGCCTTGGTTTGTGAGCATAATTTGTCTGAGAATCACGCTTGTAATCCAAAGCGCTCGTATATCAAAGCGAGTTTCAAGAACCATTGGCTCGGATGTGATCACGTGACATCCAGTGTCACGTACCGCCCGTATTGCAAGACGTCGCTCATTTATCAAGTTAAAATTTATTGGAAATGCTTGCTCGTCTTGTGGAACACTCGCAGAACAAGTTACTCACGATCCAAGGTTTTACTGTATATGCTCAATGGCCTTTATCTGCATTGTTGTAATAACTTTTTGAAAACTGGAAACCACCTAGCTCTCCAGTGTTACGGGATCGACTGGGGGACCAGCTGGGCGGATGGCAGCGTAATTCCCAGAGCACAGTGGGTATACGCTGGCACGCGCCTCTACCCCGTTTACTGGGCAGTGACTTCGCGGGTACGATCTATTTCCTGTAGGACTCAGCACGGCCCCGGGGGATAGGGACAATGACACTGCTGTCCTAAGAAGGAAGCAGAGTCAGCAACTAGGGTCTTTTAGCCAAGGTGGGGGAGCCACTGTGTACCCCACACACACCAGCCAAGTCTGTCCACTTGGTCCTTTGCACACCCCCATCACTGCTCGCACGCCTCCTTATCTGCTCACACACCTTCTTATCTGGTTAAATGTTCCCATCACTGCTCGCACGCCTGCGTCCCTGCTCGCACGCCTGCTTAACTGCCCGCACGCCTCCACAAAACTGCTTGAAATCCTCCATAACTTTTGGCACACCTCCATCACTGCGTGCACTTCTCCATAACCGTTGCACAGTCTCACAATTGCACTTATATGTGTAATGTTCACAAATGATCCCCATTTTGCAGAGGACCCTGGTGAGGGGCTAGGCCAGGACTGAATTTCCATGCACGTAACCACCCTATTATGTGGGAAGGGGCACTCTTGCACCCTGGTTCACTCCAAGGTGTCCAATTCCTTTCGAATCCCCGCCCCCCCACCCCCCACCCCGTGGCTCCTGCAGGAGCCAGAGCACCAGCTGTTTCCTCTCGGGCAGATCTCTGAGGGGCCGAGAAGGGCCAGACCTGGGGGAGGGAGGGGGGAAGGGGCGGGTACCTTTCTCTCCCGTGGGGCCGACTCTTCCGGGCCGTCCGGGTGCACCTTTGTCCCCCTTCTGTCCGGCATCCCCTGT